GAGTTGACACTTTGCTCTCTTTCTTTTTCTTCAGGATGGTTACAGACATACCAGGCACCACTGACACCTCTTTTGGTATATTCTTACTTATCTCAATTAGAACATGTTTTTCCATTTTGTCGACTTTAAAGTACACAAATTTAACAACTCCGGTATATACATTTCTGGACCCAGGAATATTACCGAACGGGTAAAATCGTTCGATGCGTTTTTAGCTGAATTTTACTGTTTTGAGGATTTTTTTTTTTTTAACGTTTTTTTGTTAATTTCGAGGGATTTTTGAGTTTTTTGGTTGATTTCAAGTGAAAAATTTTCGGTTTCTTGGTTGATTTTGAGAGACTTTTTCAGTGTTTTAGTTGATTATATTTAAACGTGGTGTTGGATATGTACGGTTTTCGAACATTTGTCAAAAGAATATGCAAAGAGTTTTGTTAAGACAATAATTCTAAACGTATTTCTAGTGATGTTTATAACGTGATCCACAGTAGAGATTAGTGGAATATAAGTTACAACATCCAACTTCATGACACTATAAGCCATTCGTACTCAAAACTTTTTTGGAAAATTGAAGAAACAGACACATATAGTAATGTGATTATCAAGTACATGTACTACCAATAGCAACAATGTGAATAGGGTTATTATAGTCATTTTTTTAGTTTTTAAAGATACGTCCAAACCCATCAAATCACAAGTCTGAGGTCTTTTATAGACTTAATTTGTATCAGTTGTGGTAAAGGTAAGATTCGTATACATCCTGCTAATGAGCAAGAACATGCCCGATATAATTGGTTCATTTTGTTGTATCCCGAACTCAATACATCTGCATTATTCTATGTAGATTTCGACCATTTGAGAAAACCGTCTTAAAGCTAGAATGTTACAAAGACTAAGGATATGTATTTCGTTGGATTGTGTGTGTATTTTTTCTGTAGGAAAAGAGTTGATGAATTATGAGATGCCAAGGCCAGGCATTGGTGTCCACCGGTATGCGTCCGTTTTCTTCGTTTCTTAACCGAATGTACGTCTAACGTTTTTTTTTACTTAACTAGTTTATGGATGTGTGTACGTAGATATGTGCACTTACTTTTTAAGCAGAAGGGTAGACAGACTGTGAGTTGTCCATCTTCGAGAGACAAATTCAACACTAGAAGCTTTGCTCATGAAAATGAACTTGGTTTGCCGGTTGCTGCTATCTTCTTTAATTGTCAAAGAGAAACTGCTGCTAGAAGACGCTAGTTCTTGTTGCCTAAATCGCTACTACGAAAGAATCAAGAACAAGATCATTGTGAGTCTTGATGTAATACTTACTTCATCTAAATAAGCAGATAAACTGGTTTTTTCAGAGATTTCGAAGTGAGCAGCATTTCTAATAATTACAATCAGATAGTTTTATTGCAAACTAAACATTGTACTTAATAAATTGCAAAAGAGAATATGCGATAAAAAAGACCATGACGTTTCAATAACCATTTTTATTTTGCTTATCATTTGAAAAGTTCGGTAACAACAAAAGATAATTTACATCATAGTCTTAAAAATAACTGCTAATTGATAAATATTAGTAGTAATTATACAATTTCTTTTTCTTTCAAAAAACAATTATTGTTGAGAGTTTATGTTATATTTCAAAGTTCTTCTGTCCCGTTTGGTTTGAAGGAATGAAATGGATTTTGAAGGATTTGCATTTCAAATTCATTTTAATCCCGTGTTTGGTTTGTTGGATTATCCGGATTTGAAATCCTAGGATTTGGTTGAAATCCTTCAAACATTGGATTTTGAAATCCTTAAAGGGAGTGCTCGGTGATAACTCTTATTTTTAAGAGTTATTTCATATTTATTTCTTCCTTTTTTGCTATTATTAAATACTCAATTTTCTTGTTTTTATATTTTTATTCCAAAAAGTTTTAAAAAGATGATGAAACACAAAGGAAGATGTATTATTCCAAAAACATGTATTTTTCTGACAGCACTGCCCACTGTGGCATTATTGTAGGATGTCTACCAGCCTTGTTGCTGCTTCTTGGGAAACGTGCAGCTTGAAGATTCCTCCAGATATTTTCAACAGCTGTATATGAGCTGTCTTCCTTCTTTAATTTTATTTTATTTTTTGTATTTTTTTAGCCATGTACTAGTTACCCTTAAGGTAATGATTGGGTGTACTATTCTCCCTTCCTCTCTCCTATATAAAGAGGCCTTGGGGAGCCATTTTGAGGTGTGCCCAACACCATCTAAGACGATATTCTCTAGTGTGTCTTCTCTCTTTCTTTTCTTTCTTTTTATTATTATGTTTTTTTAATTTATGTCTTTAATTTATGTTTTTAATTTCTAGTATTTTATTTCCTTGTACTTGTAATTTAGTTTTACATTAATGTAATTTATATTTCAATATTATTTTATGTCTTTAATTATTTTTATTATGTTTAGCTAAATTACTTGTATGAGTGTGGGTGTGAATTTAACTTAGAATGTTTATATAATATTTGGGTGTTTTTATCTTTTATCACTTCTTCGTAACTTGGTCACTTAAGACGATGCTTAAAATGCGGATAAGCTGATCACTTTGAAGTGTTAATATTAGATCTTAGACCCAGAGATGGGCGGATCCGAAATACGGCTTAAGTGATGCACAATGAACTCGAGAGGGTCTTTGAATAATTAAGTGGAGACGCGAATTTTGCATGCATCTAGCTATGGGTTAAGCAATAGGTATTTTTATCACAAAGAGATTTGGGTAAGAATCGCATTCCCTTTACTTTTTAGCTAGATCGGCAAGTTTCGAAGTGGTAAACGTAAAAACCTTGTAGAATTTTATGAGGCCCGGTTATAAAAGTTCACTTTCGAGATATTGGAACTTTTATAAACAACTCGTAAAAGTCTAACCATTTTATTGTTAATTTTATCTTAAGCAACACTTGCACCCATGCCCGTCTTTTAATATTAGAAGTTTATTTCGTTATTTAGTTAGTCATCATATTTTGGTCTTTTTATAAACAAAAATCTAACTTTTATTTTACATCTCGAACCTCGTGCAAGAAGTTCATGAAAAATCTCTGAATCTCAGTAGTACCTTCTCTGTGGGAACGATCTCGGTACTTTGTACCACTTTATTACTTGCAAGCGATCATAGTGTCGGCGTGCACTTGCACCGCCACTGTGGGGACATTTTGTCCACTAGGTGAACACGAACAATCACTTCCTCTGTCACTCGGGATTTCGTAGGATTGTATGCAATAAGGTTTTAAAAATGTTAAAAACATTTATTTTGTAATAATCGATTAATAAAAATGAAATTCAATTATTTTTATAATTATTTTCGTAATTATCTTGTTTTTTAAATTTTAATAAATTATAATACCGATGGATATATAGAATTTGATTAAATTCATTCGTCTAATAATCCAATTACCTCTAAATAGAAAGAGATGATGTAGAATTTCTATAATTGGAAATCCATTGGAATCCCCTTTTGCTTGGATGATATGACAACACCCACTCTTTTCAAACTATTCATCATCTGTATTTTGTTTTGATACTAAAAATAGATAAAACCAAAGGGAAATTGACTAGAATCGCGAATCTTTCTGACCAAATTATTATTGAAACCGAATTCTTGTTTTCACCAAAGTTTATTTAATTAACTTACGAGTTGTTTGATTTGTTTTCTGTTAAGACATGTATATATATAGCTGTCTGTATTAATATAGTTGTTTGTATATTAACAGATAAGTTGTTGTTCGGTTGTTGTGCTGAATGAACAGTCTGAATGTCATAAATGACCATTTTACCTTTGAAGTCCAAGATCAAACCAATCGAACACTACCTTATGATTAGCAATATAAATTCGGGATAGAGATTCTTATATTAATTCATTCTTTTACACCATTTTTTCAGTTAGTTGAATGTTTTTGGTTACAATTTATAACTATAAAAGTTATAATATGGCCAGTAGTGATGGCCGAAAACTGGTCTCGAGCCAGAAAATGATGTGCATAACTGGTCCCGGTTCTGTCGAAAATACTAAGGCCCGATTAAGTGTACTTGTAATCGGTTATGATAACCAATCCCGGTCCTATATTAATAAGACATTTTCTTTTATATATATATTTTTTAAAAATTTCTTTTTGATAAATTTTTAAAAATATTTTAATGTTATTTTAATACACTTTAAAATATCTAATTAAGTCAACCAAATACACTTAAAAAATACGTTTTATTGTAGCTTTATAATTGGTTTTCAATCAAATACACTTAAAAAAAACTAGAAGCGTACTCGCGCAATGCAGCGACATACATCGTGATTTTAATATTTCATTTTATTCTTTATCTCA